GCGGGGGGAGGCCCCTCCTGCCGCCCCCCACTGCACCACACCATGTGGGGGGCTCTGCACAAGCCCTCGAAAGCCCTGAGGCTGCCGCAGGAGTGGTGAGTCCTGGGGTTTTTCTTGATTTTTTTTTTCCCCCCTTCTTAAAGGGCTGGAGCTGGGCCGGACAGGGCAGCCATGGTGGGGGGCTGGGGGAGCAAGGGAGGGGGTGGGAGGTTCATGGCAGAGCTTCTCCATGCAGCTTGGAGAAGTGGGGGGCAGCAAGGATTGCCCCCCCCCACCCAGCAAGTGGGACTTCTTATTAAAGCACCAGGAGCTGGGGCAGGCAACGCAGCCATGGAGGGGCTGGGGGAGCAGGCAGGGAATGGAGCCTTGCAGGGGTCCCCCCATGGTCCCCTCCCGCCTCCTCCAACCCCCCCCACTCCCTATTTACTAGCCACCAGGGACTGTCTGAATCATTGAAGCTCTCTGAATCTTTTCTGAAAATTCAGAAAGCTTTGAATTGATTGGGACCTTTTAATTGGTCCCCTGATTCAATTGAGATTTGGAGATTCAGCCACCAAATTGGACCAAATCTTCTCTGAATCGAATCACCACCCAAAGCTTTGCACAGCCCTAGTAACCAGTAGATCAGTTGTGAGGCTCGTTCCCCTCACTAGAAATAATACCAACTACCATAACAGCTGTAGCAGAAGTGTTCACACTGTGGCCCCTGTCAGATTCCAACAAATCTGCTAAATTCTGCCAAATACCTTGTCATCAACTAAAAGTTGATGACAAGGACATGAGACGAAGAAGACTGGAATTAAAAAGACCTGAAAGTAAATGTTATTCTACATATGTGAGAATACTATCTTGTCTAGTAAAGTGTGAATTTACACCTCAAACAACCCCTGTGATCAGAATTTTAATGACAGAACATGTAAAAACAGAAAGATGTGTGAAGGAATGACACATTTTGGCTATGTAATCTGTATACACTAATAAGGTTGATGCTTCTTAGCTAGTGGGTGCAGATCCTACTTCCAGGTCTATGGCAAAAATAATTGCAGGATAAGAAAACTGGTTTGTTAAGTAGGGAGTCTGATATTGGAAATGTGAACATGAAAGATAACACAGCCCTCCATTAATGTGATAAAAGCACGCAGTTGTGAAGTACGTTGAGCTGCTCCTCTGTATATTTACACCATGTTTTAGTATTGTAACCATTGTATTACCTATCACTTCTGGTGTCAGCCATAAACTTGCCATAGATTGACTTGCTTATGTTACCCTGTAGTAATTTTTTTTTCTTGGCCAAATTCTCTGGAAATTAATCCCAGCCTGTTTTGGTGTCTTTGATTCACTGCCCTTTTCCTCCTTCGAAACATTCACTTTAAGTGATATTTCAAAACATGATCTGGGGATGAATAAAGCTAAGTTGAATATTTCTATGACTAGGTAATAGAACAAAGATTTTATTACTTTAAAAAATCATAGCATTTGCATTAGTCATCCTGAAAAAAATACTGTAATAGACATTTTGAAATGCACTGCACAGAATATGTAGTTATCCAAAGGGGCATTTAATAGAAATATAATTGCCTTGTTTTATCTAGTTTTATGGATCTTTTTCATTCTCAGCTGAATGGAGCAGAATATTTCTGCTTTATACCAAAGAACAGATGGATCAGCAAGACAGACTTTTAATGCATGGGCCACACCCTCTGCTAGCATACTCCATTGATTATGGTAGCATTACACCAGCAGGAAATTTATCTTAATACTTGTAAAAAGGCTTGAGCTTCCCAAAAGTCTTTCATGTAAATACTTTGTGAAAGACCATCCTTTTGTTTTTGTTTTTTGAAATTTTTTTTTTGGGGGGGGAGAGCAGATTTTGTTCTAGACCAATCTAATGAGCTGATTTAAATGGATGAAAAATAACAGTTCATAATAATTCTGCTGATTTTAGTGTGGTTTCAAACATAGAACAGTAAGAAAGCAGCAGAAACATTAGATAAGCTACAAAGCATTTATGAAAAAAACTATAGCAACCTTTCTGTAGAATCCAAAGTGTATGCAAGCTTTTAAGGATTCCACTGCATTTATAATTCATAAAAGGCTTTATAAAAGCAGGAAAAATAGTATTTTGTTCAAATTGTTCATATCTTCCTAGCACTTGATGTGTTTGTGTCTGTGTTTAAGAGAGACTGAGATTTTACCAAATAAAATGTTAGCTGAAATACAAATGAGCTTTTCAGCGGTAAAATGAAAATATAAGACCTCTCTATATTATGGGCACATGTATTATATGACAGTGAAAAGATTGGAATATCTCTCTTGGACCACTGTGCAAACCAGTCTCTCTGGGATTAGATAAAATGGAAAGAAAGGAGCAAAAATACAAAACAAGGCACGCAAAACACCTGGCAGACTCATACATAGCTGTACGTAAAAGTACAAAACACGCAATCCGTAAATACAAATCAATTCCATCAGGTTTACTATACAGTACTTTAGTAGTAACAGATAGTTGAAAATAGTTTTCACTTAACAGGAAAATTAATTTTAGGGGGAACAAAACGGTGAAGTCTTATCCTGGAAAACAGCAAGAGAGGTATTCTATCAAGGACCTAAACTTTTCTTTGGCATGGTAAAAGGGAAAAACTGAGTTTGCCAACCTAATTACATTAAGTTTCACTAAATTGGGGCCAGTGCAGTGTTATTTTGCACATTCTACTTACATTTTTTTGTTGTTGTTTAATATGCTTTCATATAAATGTTTTATTCAGTATGATGCACCTGTGTATACAACAAATGATAATAAACACAAACTGTACAATGCAGACAAACTCTTTGCATATATGTATGTAAATTTAGTAATATATACCAACAGTTCTTGATACACATAGCCTACTACATGCAGTTCATCATTGCCATCCTCTTCCCATGCAACAGATGAGACAAGAGACAAAATTAAAGGAAGTAACAGAAGCACAAACAACAAACCCCTTTGTTATGTTTAAATGTATTTTAGAAGAAACTGTTTTAAGACATCCATTCATTGGATTAAACACCCTTATAGCTAACCTGTTTTAACTAAGGAAAGGGAACAAAAAGTGCAAACAAAACTGATGTTACATTTCCAGTATGTACTAGTCATTTACAAAAATAAAGTCAGTCTTTGTTTAATCCTTCAAATTGTTGTTGGCAGAACAATAGCTGCCCAAGATGCTAGTTTTAATTTTGAAAATGGTATGCATATGGCCAGACAGATTGTGCCCCTGGATCCCCAGTGCATAGGTTAACCAGGTTTGTGGCACTACCTTTCCACCCTCTGGACCCTGTGGAGGTCTCTCTCTGTAGTTCCAGATCTGTGCTGAATTGGATAAAGACTGGTTAGAATAGGGAATGAATGCATGTGGATACACCAGCCCTGTGAAAAAAAATCTACAAAAAAATGAATGCAGCCAACAGCAGTATTATCTTGTTCACATACCTTCCCTCTTAAATCTGGGAAGGGCAGGATTACGATGGTGGAGTGAGTTAGTTACTGCAATGCCAGAATCACTGCGCTACCAACGAACCAGGCAGAGGGCAGTGCCCAACATGGATACTCTGGCTTCTCACTGACTGACTGGGGCTATGGTAAACTCTGGAGCTTTTATTTTGTTCAGGGATGGCAAACAACCTCTTCTGTTGGCAGAATGAGAATGGGGCAGTGAGGAAACACCAGAGGTTTCTCATGGAGATTTTTTTCCATTAGAGGCACTGGGCAAAGGATTAATCTGGGCCCAGGTTTCTCTGTGCATATTTTGCCACAGCATTAAAGTAGGTGTGTCTTTCTTTAAAAAAAGAACCTTAAATACTTAGCTAACGAACTCCCGCTGTTGTGCTTCAGCCGTCTCTTTAAAATAGAACCAACCTTCAGCAATTAGTTTGTTGTTTCAGGTGGTGTATATAACCGAGGAACTGGACTGCCAGAAGAATCATTTGGTATATTTGTAATTTATCAGCATTACAACAATCTTTTGAACAACATATTACTCGTAAGTGTTACTTATTCAAACAGAACCTCATATGAAAATTGCATAAGCCTAAAGATTTGAGACTGAATTAGTATTCAGCTAAGCAGGCTGGGTATTTGAAACAACCAGCGGCTAGTTATGGAGTGAAGACATGAACAAAATAATTTGTTAGGATTACGGAAATAAAAAGGGAATGATTGGTTTTTGTCACTCTTAAACACCATGATAACAGCAAGAGGCCAAGAGAGCATTATCACCCAGTTTTCCAGAACTGAGGTACAGTTTGGTTCTTGTCACTCTTTCTAAGAAGCAAATGCCTATTAAGCACACTCACAGTACCCATATTTTTAGTCTTTTAAAGATGCAACTCTGTGTTTTGAAACTTTTTACATACACGATTTAACACTTTAATGGCATCTTTGCTGTATTGATGAAAACATATTCCTATTTTTTCTAAATTTGTTTCATTGCTCTTGACTGATACCAATGAAGTGTCAACAATGGTTCTCATGAAGCAATTGAATATGATCCAAGGACTCAATTTCAAAATGAGTTGAAATTTCCTCTAGTTTCATGTAGGAGAAAGTACAGTATACACAGATCAAGGCAAGGCACCTTTAATCTAGCAATTTGGTGGGCACATCCTAAAAAGCTGGGTTAGAGGTATGTACTGGGATACAGGTGAAATACATAGAACTGGACTCCACATGCTGAGCTAAAAAATAAATAAGTCAAATTAATTTTTTCTAATATGTCCAGTTTTAAAACTTGGGGTTTTTTTAAACATCAAAAACAAACTATAATTTGTAACTACCCTTTGCATTGCTGCTGCAAAAAGAACACAAAAATATCCTTGCCCATGCTTTGCTGAGTAAGAGTGGAATACAGCCAAAAGACTGATGGCATTAAGTTTAGTTAATTAAAAACAGGAAAGTATTATACTTGAGATGGATTTAGGTAGCGCAATTCTTGTTAGTCTCAATTATTGTTTTATTCAAATAATGAGGATTAGTAGATGAAAAATGAGCCTTAATTCAGGCCTACAAGGCCTACAGAGTTCTTTGGACCCACTTTCCCAAAAATGAGTGGGTCTCGCTTGCTGGGCAAGGCAAATGTTACCATTACCAGTAAGCTTGTGATATGTATAAAACACACAGAAAAAAAAAACTATAGGGGGATGCCAAACACTAGTCTCAGAAAACGTTCTACTGGTTGTGTTTGACACTTTTTCCCTCCATACTAATGCCAACCTCAGGAGCACAGTATCTGTTACTAAAGTTTATTCACATTTAATCAATACTGTAAGCCAGAGACGACAATTCTATTCTTTATAGATATAATTTATAATAATAGGTTTTTGAAGGCTTCCTGATTCCCTGATTGCTTTCAGAGCTAAGCCACCTGCAACACTTAAGTTTTAGAGAAACACAATCCCTGCAAAAGGTCACAGACAGTGGAGCGAGCAGCCTTGTAAAAAAGGGAAGAAGAGAAATCCATAATAGCACAGGTTTACAGCGTCTAACTAGAAATTACTTGATATTATTTGTGTGCTACAAAATAGAACTTAAAACACATGGATTTCGCTGAAACTGGACTCAAAAAGGGATTATGGGTAACTGTCAGCAGGCAAGGTATCAAGTGTACTTGTGAAGTATGTCATTCACATGAAGTGTCACAGTCACAGAAAAGATATTAAAAAGGCATTCCATATCTGGTAGGGCATTCCATGGTCTGAGTTTAGCTGGTTATCCAGGTGTCTTCTTGTTGTGGGTGGAGCTACATGTTGAGATTCATCCACTCGCAATAACTTAGTTCAGAAACAGCAAAGAACAAGTATTCACTTGCCTCAAGCTGATCCATAGACACCACAGTAGGATAGTCTGGAAAGGATAAATTGCTCAACTGTACTCGGGGCTCAATAAGTCATAACACCTGTGAGGATCTGGCTATGTCGTCTTACTCTTGTTAACTGGTTTGCCTCCATTCATTATTGCAGATGCACTTGTGCTTTTACTTGGAGTTACCCCAGCCTTTGGCACTGTTTCTCCAATATCATGCAAAGATGGTTCTCGATACATGGCAACTAATAGAGGAAAGAAGACAGATTGAAAAAAAAATCAGTAGTGTTCATTTTTATATCGTTGTTCCAAGCAAAAAATGTTTTAATATTCCCTTAGTCTTTTTGTGAAGGAGAGTAGCTACTATGAAAGGAACCATCTGCTTTAAACCACTATTATATTTGCCCTCCCAGTCAAGCATCTCATTCTGTGTTTGTTCATCACATCTGACTAACAAGTGCAGCAGGAAATTGTACCTTGTTTTTTAAAAGGAGACTATGATGTGATTATAGAAGTTTAAGAAATTAGAAACAGTTGTTCTACCTTCATTTATACAAGACATAAAAATGAGCTGTTCAGTTGAAACCCTCAGGCACTGTACTGTCTCATTACAAGATAATTTAAGTCAAAACTGAATTTTCTGATTACATTTTTAAGGATTCTAGACATTTGTGTAGATCATTAAGTGATTTCTTTATCAAATACCATGAGAACATTAATTTTCAGTGTCAGAAACTGAAGTGACAGTCTCACAATCATGAGCTTCAATTTTTAATTAAGGAAAAATCATTTAAGCAATCGTTATTTATATTACTTTCATATTTTTCTCACAGTCTAGTTAATATATGGCATTCATCCTCATCTTTAAATGACTTTAAAGAAAGATGCATTTAAAGACAAAATCACAGAATGTTTAAATAAAACAAAACCTGATGAGATTAGACAGATGGAGACTAAAAGATAGCACTTGAGCAGTTTATGAAAAGGATTAGATTACTATGACATGGTTGCATAGTTAACAAGGGACTAGCAGCAGTGACCCAGGATATTCCTTTTACTCCTGCATCCCTACAAGGGACTTGGGCCTATAACCTCCAAAATATTTAAGTGTTTAACTCCTAATGGGAAAATCTGGGCCTAGTGTTCAGGCTGTGCTGGAAGTATGCTACAAATGGTTCCAGAGAGCAAACAGAGCAAAAGTAGTTCAGTTAGTGTTGATTTATTTCTTTGTGCCTAAATTTCCCATGCTATATGGCCAAAAACATTTTGAAATGCACAACACTTCAAGTCTAAACTATTAACTATTATAGCAGCACTGAGATAGCCCACTGGGCCTCAACAGGGGACTAACAATTTAAAATCCTTTTTGGAAAATACCTATGTTCAATTACAAAGTTCCAGCTTTAAGCTGCTTTTTAATGATTAATGCTGGTGGATAATTCATTTTCCATGTCACTGAATAAGGTAATATTTCACTTCCACATAACTTTGGTAGCATTTATTTATATCAGAGCAGTGCTAAAAGAGATGTCAAAGCAGTCAAAAGAATTAATCGTTGCACATTGGTTTTGGGGGAAGTTATGTGTTTCTATAGAGAGCACAATCCCTTCTTCCCTTGACTAATTAGAATAGGAGTCAGTAGCATCAAAGTACTGACCTTGATCTTCAATGTTGAGAAGTTTCATAATAGATATGAAGGGCCCATAACATCATTAACTAATCAAGTACTTAACTTGTTCTAACAGTCCCAATAACATAGTCCAAATCCTTTTATGGCTTTTGAAAGTTTGAAATTAAATTTCTTCTCTAGGGTACATAGCACTGGTGATGGTCTATGTCTTTAGAGTGCACCCCCATAATTGTTTTTAGGACACTTTGGTTTGCTGACTAACTAGAAACATGATGAAATAACACCATGACCTACAAAAATATTAAGTGAAATAACATACACTAGAACCATAAGGGAAAAGAATTACATAGCATGGCTCTAATCTTTGATGACCCTCTTAGGCAATATAAAGCAACTTATTTCTAAGCCTTGCTTAAGCTATTTTAATAATAAAAGAAAATCTGAGAAAACACATCTCAGTGATGACATACTCTACTGGAAAAAAACACTTTTTCCCTAATCTGACTGTGTAGTGATTGCTTTAAAAATATAGTTGCCTTTTTTTAATGCTAACTTCTAGTTCAGGGGTCAGCAACATTTTTGGGCAGAGTGCCAAAAACACCAGCAACCCTGACTTATAAGATGTTGGCATACCAGAGCGGATGGCTGGGGAGCCACAAGAGGCCAGATCCTTGTAGCAACACAGCCCCAGCCCCTTCCCTGCCATCTACCCTGAGGTGTGTGCACCAAGCAAGATGCCTTCACATGCCATGCTCTGGCACTCAGGCTGCAGGTTGCCTACCCTTGGACTAGTTATTATATAGGGTTGAAGTTTCTCTCCAGGTAGTGCTGAAGAATTGTGAACATTTTAAAGGCTATCTTCATTGCAAGGAATAGGAATACAAAATTATATCAACGTAAACTGAGATGTGAAGTGACTATCAGCCACTCAGGGCTCTTGGGACCATTTTGCTCTGCATAATGAAAATGTAACACACAACATGAGTTAGGTTTGAAATTCCTCAAAATCTATTCCACACCTTTTCCATTACAGTTATCTCAGAATTGCAGGAGACAAATGACACTGCTGATAAAAATCATTACTCAGAAAAGCCTATTTTTTTAAAGATGTTAACTAATGAGACACTTTTCAGTACAGCTGCAGGTATGAGTAACAATCTGCACCAAACTGAATGAAATCTGGAGTGTAAGAGAAAACAAACAAGCACAGATGAAAAAAAATGTTAGAATAAGTAGGACAAATGGACAGTTCCATATTCAAGATATAAATTAGCACATTTTGCCAGATAATGCATGGTATCTATAAGTTTAGCACAACTAAAGACATTATTTGTTACTCCCTTTTCCTAAACTAGTGTAAAGGCTGGCATGCACATGTGTGCAATACATCATCGGCTCAATATTGCAGTATACTTTAGCTTATAAACATTGTGTTAGGAAGCTCTTAAATTAGATTGCTGACATTTCATCTATTCCATTCATGCCTCCCCATATGTATACTTTTCCTAAAGCATACTTTATTGTTTAGATCATTATTCTGGATAATGAAAGGAATATTTTTTCCACTGCAATACTGACAACAATTTGGGCTCCTACTAGAACATAGTTTTGAAACAGCACAATGCACTTCAAAAAAAGATTTCACTTCAACTAAAAAAATGACCTTTTAATCCCATGGAAGGCCATTTTACATGTGCCCTTTCTAGCGCGCACTGTGCTGGAGCACAAAACACTCCATAAATCTTGGAAACTGCCATATGGAGTAGTGTCTCTGTGTGCCAAGCAAATTCAGAAATGCTACTATAGAACCCTTCACCTTCCTTTTGTCATACTATGAACTTCAAGGGAGAGACTTTTAAATATTTCAGCATATCTGGCTGTGATGGACCAATGCTCACCTTCCAATGGCTTGGGTAGAAAATGAGCTGCTGGTTTTGTTTTCTTCACTCTGTTTCCTTTCATGACCTGCCCTTCCTTATTAAGCCCCAGGAACCAAGCCCTACCAGACTCCTGTTGTCGGTACAGCATAGATGAGTAGATTACATAATAGTTTTCAAAAACAGACTCCTTAAACTTGCACTCCGGTGTAAAAAGTTCCTGTGGGAAAAAATGTAAAATGTTAGAGCATATCCCAAAAGCTCTAAATCTATCATGTCATTTCTGACAGTGTTTTGGTGCTAATTTGGGAACCTGGCTGGTCCATTGAATAAAGCATGGCCCTCAGAAACTCAGAAGACCTGATTTAAAGGACTACCTTTTACAAGTTTCTCCACTTCGTACAATGGGGACAAGTATACAGTACTTACCTCCTCTGTAAGGAACGTTGATATCTAGTGTTTAAAAATACTAAGAGCTTGGTATTAGTATAATTGTGCTTATTTTTCTACACGAGAATGAATTCATGTTTTAACACGTCTGACAGTACATCAGAGCCCCAGTGAAAACAAGGTGGGTTTTTGTTTTTTTTTAGTTTTCACCTATTTGCCAAGTGTAGTAAATTCCAGCTTTCACCTGCACCCCCTGACCCTCGTGCTGTATTGAAAACAGTTAATATGATACAAATGAAGAAAAAATTGTCCTCACAAGGATTTCAACATGCATGAAAAAGTATGTTATATTGCTAGTGGAGCTATGGTCTCAAATGCTATTGAAGGCTGTTTCGTTCAGTAGAGAATCACCAAAGAATGCAACTAGGCAGAATGACTGTTCCCAAGGGATACTGAGCCTACTCAATTCTCACTGACCACATCATTCTGACCCTAAGTGCTGATATTGCTGGAAAGAGTCTTATTCAATGATACAGCAGGTGTTCAGCACCATTTCAAGCCAAGCTAGTTAGGGCAGATGCAGACATACCATTTTAAATGTTTCACACTTAGCAACATTTTTAAAACATTGTGCTTCCACTGCATAAGAGTCATGCAGCTCCTGTTGTGTCCTCCAGCTAAAGTACTTGACAGTCTCTGTTGTTGCATGTTGCTGGTGTAGCCAGAGGGAGGAACAGGATAATCAGTCACCTGTAGCCTTGCTTCCTGCTTCCATGATGAACTATGGGTTTATTGTGATAATTCTGTTTTAAATACATTTATGTTGTTATAATATTGTATGCCTCAGTTTATCACTAAAGCTAGTATATGGGGAATGAATGGATTAAGAGTCAGTGAAGTAAGAGATCTGCCTACCTGTGGGACAAGACAAGGTGGACCTCTAGCATCAACAGAGACCGGAACAGCTTTTTGACACATCTACACATGAAGATAGACAACACCCAGGAGGTTGGGGGGAAGCTGAATGAGATGAGCATAATAGTTGACAGAGCATAATAGTTGACATACTCTGGTTGGGGACAGAGTATGGAGAGGGACATAAGCAGAGGAGCTTTCCAGGAGCTGGGCAGATTGGAAAGAGAACTACAGAGCATTCCTTGGGGCTGCTCTTGGCTATGTGGGCTGGATTTGGGGCAAGGGAACTGCTTAACTCTTTGTGGAGGGCAGAGAACCTCTAGCGGGATGGCCTTTGTCTTTACTGACTTGCAACTAAAGTTCTAAGCAGCAGACAGTTTCATTTGTTCTCTCCAAGAAGGGGCAACGTCCCTTTCTCAGGAGCTGAACTGGATGCTAGCTTCTTGAATCATGGCCCTGGAGAACCAGGGAGGGTGAAGAACCAAAAAGCCAGGGTCTCGGAATAGAAAGTAGCTTGGGCTGGCTTTGGGGGGCACTCTTAAAGACCAGACAAAGCTGCAGGGGTCTCAAGAAAGCACTGTCCCTAGCGAACTCCATGACACCTCCTTCCATAATAGTGGAAAAGACTGTCAATGCTGGAGTGCAAGAGGCTTCAGTGAGGTAACAGCCAGAAAATGGCTATCTGCATCCAAGACATGGGCTCTCAGCACTCAGGGTGCTGCTGCTCCAGGCACCTGGGTGCTCTGGGGTTTCCAGAGTGTCACAAGTTCTGCAAGCCCTGGTGACTGGAGCACCCCAGGGCCAGGAGCCCTGGCACTGATGTACAGGGAGCAGCAAGGGTCCAGAATGCCAAAAGTTGCTGGACCCCCAGTGTCCACAGCCCTGAGTGCTGGAGCCCCAGGGAGCACCCCAGGGAGCAGAAAGTGCAAAGGGGTGGAGGTGGGGTGAGCATGCAGTAGTGGTCAGTGCTGGGAGTTGGGGTGGAGGAGGGGGGGGAGGAGAGTCACTGTATTTGGGAATACTGGAGGACGGACAAGCCAGTGGAACAAAATGTTATTAAATAGTACCTGCTCCCATACTACGTGCTTCCTGCAGGCATTACGTTGTCACACTTAGGAGCCTTTTATCCCACTTATACATCTGTACGGTATCCTTTTAAAATGTTTCAAAGGTGTTTCAAAGCCCTTTGAAACATTTCAGATGTTATTTCTGTCTGAACCCTTTGGAAGCCATCCAGCTCAAAGCACAAATTTATGGGCAATCTGGTTATCTAATCTATTTAAACAATTAGTGTGAATTTTTATTAACAGGAGTGAATAGGAATAAAATATAACAAGAGAAATAAAAAGGAGGCACAGGAAACAGATTTTAATATAAACCTTAGGGAGGAAAAAACACTTGAAAATACATGTTAATAAAAAAAAAAAATTAATTACAAAACTGGTATATAGCACCAAAACAGCAGAAGTTGAATTGCTAATTACATATACAAGTGTTATTTTTGTATATGAAAATAAAAGCAGTGTGGTGTGTTCTTGTTGTCTTTTTTAAATAAGTGAACAGAAATGGACCAGTAACAATTCTAGCCCTTGTCTACACAGAAGTTAAAATAGCAAGACTTCTAGTAGCAAAATTATTTGTGTTCATGCTGGAGTCACTTGCATCAGTGCGGTGTCCACACAGGATCAGGCAGTATCAAGTCAAAGCATACTGCATTGCTTGCAGGCATTGGCAAGTTCTACAATCTCTTTTTATTCTGAACTGGTCAATTCCATTGGTTAAAATTCTACATATTATCTGTCAAGAGCTATCACTGGATTTTCCAGTAGTCTCTATTTTTGTTCCTGATCCCAGTCACAATTTCATGCTTTACAAGGGAATCACGGTGTTAACCTTTCTCTTTCAAAAACTTCCAAGATTGACTCTTCAGCCTTTCATAATTTTGCCGACCTTCTGTGCCCTCTGAGTAAAACATATCTGTTATCTTTGTGTGCCAAGCCATACACCTCAAAGCTCTGTTCAACAGCATCATAGTTAGCTTCAAATCTTAAAGGCACATAACTGCAAAGTCCATGCTTAAGTGCTGAACCTAGACTAAATTCTTTAATACTACTAATTATAGTGTTCCAATAAGTAATACTTATTTGTAGTGTGTGACAGTTCTGTCTCTACTTATAAACTTAATATTGTTCTATCACTAGCGGTCCCTTCCTGTTTGTAGAATAATTCATTTGTACAAGCATGTATGAACTACAACCTGTTTGAATAAAAACCTGCAGACAAGATACAGGAAACCCCTAGACTGTAACGTCACCTTTCCCACCAGATACCAGATTTCCAGCAAGCTGTCCCAGACTTTTAAGAGGTTTGCTGTCTGTGATGCCTTCCTTTCTCCTTGAACTGATGCCAACTCACAGAAAGACTCAAGGAGAATCAAAGGCAAAACAGAAGACAAGTTGAAATAGTAGCAGAACTGACTGGTAAACGCATGCCATTTCGTATACTGTTTACATTTCTCATTTTCCTAGGCTGCTGAAACAACACAAGATAACCAAAAAGTTTGCACAAAGCTTTCACTCAGCTTCTTGAACACACATGCTGCTTTTCTCCATCCAATATTCTGTTTCCCTTTAAATCTAAATGATCACAAATGCCACCACACGTTTTCTGAGAGACAAATTCATGCCATTTATCTTTACTAGCTTTGCTTCTCCACCCCACCCCAGTTGGGGTATGCTGTTTATAAAGAATATTTGTATGTTTTTCTTTTAATAACCCCTTTAAACCGTTTAATTCTTTAGGTAACAAACCATAAAAAAAATTTTTTACAAAGAAATTTAGAAAACAGAAATGTAATGGATAGTCTTAGATACAGGCCAGAATACTAGCTATATGACTCATACATTTTTTTTTAATTGTGACTTGCATTACTTGTTGAGATTATAATTGTAGCTAAAAATCAGTCTTAAGTAGAACAAGGTCTGTAGGAATCTGTTCCAAACTGATGTAAAAAATAGGTAGGAAAAATGGCTGTCATAGTTGTCAAACTTCTGTAAAAATTAGGATTAATCCATATATTTAACAAAAGTATAAAGAGATGTTCTACAATACAAGGGTAAATACTTCCTCTATGTGGATAGAAATGTGTATAGGTTTACTTCATAGGAATTTAAAAACTACTTATCAACCTTTATTTCAATTTTGTAGAAAACAGATGTTATTTATTTTGGGGGGAAAAAATCACTATTTATTCATACAAACTTGAAAACTTCCAAAATAAGTATTTGTTTATTGGCAAAGGGTCCCAGGCATTTGGGTCCTGAGTTTTTATTTGAAGATTTTACAATCTAGTGTTACAGTCCTGTCTCCAGCAGAGTCAGGCCCACAATGAGATTGCAGAACTGGAGCTTTCATTAACCAAAAACATTTTATGCTTATTTCACATCAGAAATGTGTCAAAAATTATCAACATGCTGGAAGTTCAAATGCACAGCTACCTTCACATTCAACCCCCCCTCAAAGCACTGAGAAAATAAAAAATGTCAGACTTAGCAGACTATAAGCATTAACTTTAAATTGCCAGGCTGTGGCTAGTTTACCATTTGTGGTAGGTTATTTTTAATAGAAGCTATCTATCTGTATTTCTGCTTAATAACAAAGAGGGTGCATCTACATGTGAAATTAATCTGACTGAATAAACTCTGATGCAGTTCTCACCAGAGTTTATTGCTCCCAGGCATAATGTTTATGTGTGCGCCCAGGACTACTGCGCAATGAGATGGGTCAGAGCAACCCAAGCTGGCAGGGGACCCGGGGGGTCAGTGTGCCTCCTGGGGCTGCTCCGACCTGGCTCAATGTGCTGTGGAGGGGCTGGCTGGGGCATGAGGGGGTGCCAGTGCAGAGCCCCTGCATTGA